TTAAAGACAAAATCCATAGAGAGGAGTAGGGTATCCCTACCTCGAAGTTTAAGCCAAAAAGGAGATGAAGACTCGAAGATCAACTTGCTCCAAATCCAAACTTTTTCAGATTAAATCAAAGCTCTCAACGCCCTCTATCTTTTAACAAAGGCTCTAGGCTAGATTCACACTCTAGGGAGATCAAATCTTAGTGAGGGTGTAAGTTTAGAGAGAGAGGGTCTCGGATTTAGGGTTTGATCAAAAAAAGAAATGAAAAACTGAAGTTCAAAATCGCTACTGTCCGCTGATATAAAACACGCTCGCTCGAGCGAAGAATTGGTCGCTCGAGCGACCAGACACAGAAAACTCTCGCTCGAGCCAAGAAGTTCTCGGTCGAGCGAAGAAAAACCCAGACCGCTCGAGCGAAGGAAGCTCGCCTCGAGCCAAGAAAGGCAACTCTCAGGTCCAGAACCAGACGCAACACTCGCTCGAGCGAAGCCACCCTGGCTCGACCCACCAGACACGAACCTCCTCTCGCTTGAGCGACAAACTCCTGGCTCGAGCGAAGAGCCAAAAATCTGGTCAGCAACACTAGGCTCCCAAACACAACCAACCTGTAACAAACCTGCCCAACACATCCCATACTCAATATACAAAGTAAAAAGGATGCAAACAAGATAATAAACAACAACCAACATCCACGGACACATGTCCGGATCACTGTACAATAAGGGTAAACCCGGGATCGCTATAGTTTGATCTTCCATTTTCATCCACTTTGAAGTTGCATCCCCCCACAGAGCTTATTGTTTCCCACTACTGATATTTTACTTGCATTACTAAATACACCTTGTGTTGGTACTACACCTTCAAAATTATTAAAAGACAGATTCAAATTTTGCAACAAAATAAAGCTCTTCAAGTACACTGGAATTTCACCAGACAAGCTATTATTCACAAGATCCAACTCGCTAAGCCTCTCAAGAAACTCAAAAAAGAAGGAATGGTTCCGTTGAAAAAGTTGTTCCCCAAACGTAGCGTTTCCAGGCTTGTGCAGCTACCCAGAGTGCTCGGAATTTCACCTGATAACAAGTTCTTAGAGACATCCAAGTAACCAAGGTTTATCAACTTTGCAACTTCCATGGGAAGAGAACCACTCAGTTGGTTTTGGGATAGGTCTAGATATATAGATAAGGATGAGATAGAAACAACTTGTTTTGGTATGGTACCATTAAGGTTGTTTTGAGAAAGAAGCAACTTTTGCAAATTACTGCAATTCCCTAGGCTCGGAGGAATGTTTCCCTGAAAATTATTTAGTCCTAAAAACAAGTTTACTTAACAAACTCAGATTTCCTAGGGAAGATGGAATGTTACCAGACAATAAATTGTTGAGGAGATTCAATTCGTCCAAATTTTGAAGCTTTCCAATCCCACTTGGAATAGTACCGGTGAGTTGATTAACCTGCATATACAAACTCTGCAAGCCAACAAGATTTACAATCCCGGGTGGAATGCTTCCGAATATCTGATTGTTGTCTAAACTCAAAAGTTGAAGATTGCTTGAGAGATTACCGATGGATTCTGGAATCTTGCAGCCAAAATTGTTTAGGCCCACGTTCAAATACTGTAAATTTGTAGCATTGATCAAAGAGTAGATAAAGTTCAAGTCATCAGCTTCCCCGCAACCAAGCTGATTGTCCCCGATGGTTAGCCACTTGAGGTTTTGCAGCCTTGCTAAATTAGGAACCTTTCTAGTAAGATTGTTTTGATCCAATTCGAGTTCATGGAGTTTAGATGTATTCGATATTGAAACTGGAATTGATCCTGTAAATTGGTTTCCAGCAATGCCGAATAATTCAAGATTGGGAAGAGTGATTCCCAAGTCCCAGGGAAGACTTCCCTGAATTTGGTTAACAACGACATTAAAACTTGTGAGAGAAGAGTGGTTAAAGAGCGACGCAGGATGACGCCGGACAACCTGTTTACGCCGAGTGCGAGTATCTGAAGTTTCTTCAATTGATCAAAACCATCAGGAAAGCTGTCGTCAAAGTAGTTTCTGTCTAAAAACAGGTTGCGAAGAGATGACAAATTCGTGAAAGGAGAGATACTCCCTCTAAGATTGTTGGCCTCTATATTTACTATTGCGAGCTTCGACAAGGATCCCAGCTCCACGGGAACTTCCCCTACCAATCCATTGTGTGAAAAATTGATGTAAATGAGGTTAGCACAACGAGATATATTTATAGGAATTTGGTCACCAATTAAATTCTTGCTCAGCTGCAAAATCTGCAGCCTTGGCAAACGGCCAATTTCTGGGGGAATTTCATTGCCAAAGCTATTGTTCTGACGCAGTAATTCCCTCAGAAAGCTTAAATTCCCAAGGTGTGGTGATATTGATCCCACCAGTTCCCGGGACTGTAAGTCCAAGGCAGTGACCCTCTGATGCCTGCGGCCACACGTAACGCCTTGCCATTGGCAGAAGTGGATAGAGTCATTCCAGGAGCTCAAAACATGCAGTGGGTCCTCAACTATTTTTGCCTTAATTGCTAGCAATGAAAGTCGGTCGGTCTCATTCCCCATTAGCCCGGAGCTGGATGTGGTAGCAGTAAAGCCAGAGTTGAGAATGCTCAAACAAGATAAGAGTATTAGATAAATATGCAAATTGTGTACTAGCCATGACATGCTCAAGCTTAATCTTGGAAGCCCCATTGAATTGAGCAAAGAAATGTATGGCTGTGTTTTGGTGAATTACCTTTTTATGCCAATTATATTGCATGGCCGGCTAATGAGCATGCCGGCAAAACGGCCACTTCGACCCGCTGGATTTGGACTTATAAAATTTAACCTAGTTTTTTTTTTTTTTTTCATTTTTTTATTAGACCTCAATTAAATAGAGAGCCCCAACACTAAACTCAAAAACAAAACTGCTTTTATTAGTAGAGGACCCCAATTACTTTACTTATTAAGTCCGAAAATAAAATTATTTTTTGTTAGTGGCACTACAAAAAAATACACTTTTGGCGACTAATGTTTTAGTCGCCAAAAGCCCAGATTTTAGTCGCCGAAAATATTTGCCGACCAAAAACTTTGGTCGCTGGCTTTGTCGCAAATACATTGTCGGCGAAGGTATTGGCGACTAAAATCTGTTTTAGTCGCTAAAAATCCAACAGAATTGGTGACTAATCTGTTAGTAGCCAAAAGGGGCAGCAATTAGCGACAAACAAGGATTTAGTCGCTAAAAATCCAACATAATGCCGACTAATTTTTAGTAGGCAAAAGAAGAAGCTATTACCGACTAACGCTGCTTTAGTCGCTGATGAGTCATATTAGCGACTAAGATATTAGTCGCCGAAAGGGTGAAGCAAGTCTATTAACTCACATCTTCGGCTACTAAACTGTTGTCGCCAAAAAGTTCAATTACATATAGCGACAAAATTAATAGTCGCCAATAGTGTCATTTTTAGCTACTAAAGATTTTGTCGGGGAAAGGTTCTTCTAGTTTAGCTACTACAGGCTTTAGTAGCCAAAACTGTTTTCAGTTTTTAGCTACAAAACAATTAGTCACCAAAACTATTTTCTATTCATTTTAGCTACTAAATATTTAGTCGGCAAAAGATATATTTATTTTTTTTGGCTACCAATTTTTTTGTCACCAAAAATGTCATTTTTTATTTTTTTTCATTTTAATAATTTTTTTTCAAAACCTGTATATATCCACCACAACCTATAATACAAACATATCCACCATAACCTATAATACAAACAAATCAATATGTAAATTATCACCTATTCCGTAATGCATGTTTCACTTACAACCATCAAACCAAAAATAATACCTTACAATGTTAACTTATATATACAAACCAACGAACATATTCCAATTACAAATAATAACGTCATACATTCCAACTGTGTTACCAAAACAATGTCCTCTATACACAAAACATTGTTACTATACTATGCATTGTAATGACCATTTGACATGGTACAAATTACCATGGTAATATGTACCACGACAAAAGGTAATCTATACATACCACCAGAGCAATTAACACAAGTTCCAAAAATACTATGTACCCCGCCAAAAAATATATGTATGATTCATCCAATTTCCACACAAAAAGCCAGGGACGACAAAAAACTTTCCAACTTTGCAAAAATGTGAATTTTCTTTCGGACAAAAAAAAATAGAAGATCCACATGTCAATGCCAAAAGCCATCTACACAAAAAAAATGTCACCCATTAGTTCCATTGTAAACAAAAATTCTCAACAAAAAGTATACTTAAGTAAATGTTCTAACAAAATTCCATAATAAGCAAACATTATATGCAACAAATTTAAACACATAATTAGGCAAATTCTCTGAAATAAATAATATACATGTCAGGATCGTCACACGGTTGTTATCAATTAGACTAAACTAACACAAAAGCATAAATTCATGATCAAAATCGAGTACATTAAAATTATAAGGATCAAAATAATATAAGGCCAAAACTATACACTAATGAAATGTATTTATCACTGTATATATTAACCATGTGTTGCTTTTTTATTACCAGCGGGAGAAGCTGGCAAACGTGATGATATCCCCAGAATTCGAATTTGGAGAAGTTTCACATCCATATGTTCATTTGATACTATTGACGATTTTCAGGTAATATATAGTTGTATCAGCTATAGGCTAGTGTTATATGACCATATAACCTTTGTTCAAAATTTGCGTTGGCGGTGTTGGACTTACGAAGAAGGCTCATATGAATTTTAGATTGTATTGTTATGGTCTGAAACTTCTTTATTTGTGCTTTTATTTCAGCTGTAACAAAAGATCTTTTATTCTTCCAGAAGTAATAACTACTAATAACTATGTAGTACCAAGAATCTATGTATTATTGTTTACCTAGTAGTCCCAAGAATCTAGGTATTATTGTTTACCTAGTACTCTCAACAAATGAAGAATCACCAAACACACCAAACGTATTATCTTTTATCTTTTTAACTAGTTAATAAAGATGGATCAACATTGATGCACACATAAAGTTTTTAGTCACATTAATGGTTTGGTTTGAAGTAAGTCTCGAGACAATCCAGACTTGCTGAATAGTTTTTAGATATGTGGCAAGACATCTCTAACAAAATTGTGTTATGCAAGCAAACAGACCTGCCAATTTAACTAGTTGTGTCCCTTGTAATAAACTGAGTTTTTTCGGCTACGTTTACGGCGTTTTTGATGCCAACTCCCAGCGTAGCTGTCATCTGAGTTGGTTGAATAAATTGAGAAGTGAAATTGCTCATATGGCACTTAATTAGAACATTTATAAATTCATTCCTCCTGCTCAATGCCGTGGTAAGATAGTTATTCTAGCGTCTGGATGTTTGTTGACATGAACAGATACTCATAAGTCTGCCCGTAGAACAGGCTGTCTTGACATGACAAATGTTAACTTCTACCGAAGAATATGAAGAATTTTGTTATTCAGACTATAGCCAACTATTTGCCAGCATGGACTTGGACGGAGTCAGTTCACATAAAAAACAAAAGTAAATTCCACATAAAAAAAAAGGTCATCATTTTTGTTTATATTTTTTTTTTAATTTTGTTCGAATTCCATGCTGTCTTATGGAAATCAGATTATGCCATCAAGTGGTTACCTTATGAAATCAGATTATGCCATCAAGTGATTACAACCCTATGGAAATCAAATTATGCCAAAGGGAACTAACTTCATATTTCATTGAAATCAAGTGGTTACCTTATGAACTTCAAATTACCGTCCATCTGCTGCAAAGTCTACTCACATTATGCCTTATAACCTATTCGAAGCACAAAACAAAAAAAATTTGCATACCAACTTTAGAAACCAATTCTATGCCAATATGATCCATATTTTCTAGAACTTGCATTAGCTTATCAATAAAATTGTGTTTACCGAATAGTAGGAAGACCATCTGAACCCTGCAAGAGGGTTGTGAGTCGTGACACCACGTCGTTCAATTGATTGAGTTGTACTTGTTGTGCCTCCCGTGCTTTTTTTTCCTCTTCAATTTGTTTCATCAGCTCCTTTCTTTCCCTCATAATTTCCTCCCTATCTCTTTGCCGCTCCTCTTTCTCCTTTAGCAACTCCTCGTGATCTCTTTGCCGCTCCTCTTTCTCCTTCAGCAACTCCTCGTGATCTCTTTCACGCTCCTCACGAAGAGCCTCCAATTCCGTTCTCATTGACTCCATATGTTTGTCACGTGCTCGTGCCACATTGGAAGCTACTGAAGAGGGTTGTGGGCCTATCCCACATCCACGCAAGTAATTTTTTTTGGCCCCGAGCACTTGCCTTGATAGTTCTTCGTGGGTCAATGGCAACCCCACATCGGTGGCTACGACTTGTAGATTGACCATATCATCCTATCATGGCAAAAAAATAAGAAAGTCAAGATAGTTGAAGGAATTGAAAACAACTTTAGTAATTGATATACAACAAAATTGGTTTCAACATTTAATACTCACATGTAGCTCACCACATTTGGGGTCAATCCAGTCTCCCGTCTTCTTGCACTTGTGTGATTTCTTATGAAATTCAGGGAAATCTATTTCTCCATCCTCATTTGCCTATTATGTTTGAAAAAATTTCCATTGATGAAGTAGTACATAGTAATATTCAAAATGAAGAAGAATCAATCATCCATTATATTACTAAACAAATAACTACTTCTCACCATAAGCGACATTGCTATAGGAAATGATCGCGATCCACTTGTATGATTGTAGGGAGCATACCCCTATTTGCTTTACCAGCTTTAGAGCGTTTCTAACAAGAAAAAAAAATTACAAATATAAACCAATTTTGTTAGAATTTTTATTGATATTCACATCAATGAATTTCAAGAATGGGGTTTCTAATTAATTTGTTACCAAGTGCGATTCATCTTTCCAAGCAACATCAATAAGATATCTCCAGTCATCCAAGCTCACTCCACTAGGCGGATGACTATACGGGTCATCAACACCCTTTTCCTCAAGTTCGAGGAACTCTTGCTTTAGATTGTACCTCCAATCCTTGTATAGCAAATATGCCTTTCTATCAAGAATTTGTTGAGCTTGTTCATCATTATCAAAATCATCCCCGATAACAAACTTGTCCTACAAACATAATAAGACAATTAGTACATCAATTAATTTAAGCAATTACAAATAACTTAATAACGACATTATGGGAAGATAAATCTCGTACTAGCACCTCTTGGATGACCGCATCTTTGGTACTTTCATTGATTTTCCTCCATGACTTCACGCTCTGAAAAGGGCACAACCGTCTAATTTGCAATCCCAACTCATTCGTCGCTGGGGTTGCATTCCCTCCTGTGATTGCGTTCAACACCCGATTGACATACACATGTAATTTCTCTCCTTTTTTCCTGTCTATTCTTTTTTGCACTCAATAAATTTCCAGAGGATAGCAATTGCCTTGTTGATTGTTTAATTAGACATGAGTTCAAAAATTGAGAATCAGATTAAATTACTATAACTTTGTGAAATTGTCCTATTCAGGCACAAAGGTCAGACCAAAAATAACTATAATGTCTAGT